CTGTGGCAATTCCGGAAGCGTAAAGGTCTGGCGGATGCCAAGTGCACGAGAGTAGGCTCGCAGAAGGCCAGAGGAGAACTTTCCGCCTCTGTCAGAGTGCAGACGCAGAACAGGAAAGTTCGAGCCGAAGCTCCTCCTGAGCTGGAGACGAGCTGCGCACATCCAGTGGATCAACACCTCAGTGACATCACCCTTGCTTCGCAGGGGGAAAGACTGGGGTGTAACGCGAGTAGTCCTCAACCACCAGGAGGAAGTAGCGCTCGTGACCCTGTCCACGGACGCAGGCCGGGCCCCACACGTCCATGTGAAGCGTCTGCAGCGGGGCCTTTGTCGGGGGAAACTGAGAGGAGTGAGGGGCAGCCCACAGCCGCCCCTCGACACAGGGGACGCAGGTGGGGCCAGGCCCCGGAGGAAGGGGAGGGAGGGACCGGGGAAGACCAGAGACAAGGACACGAGAGGCCATGCCTCGGAGACGAGGCAGGGAGGAGTGACCAAGGCGGTGGTGCGAGAGGAGAGTCTCGTGCGACAGGAGGCGACACGAGCAGGGGGCAGAATCAGGACCAGACCTGGACGCTGCAGCAAACACCTGACCCGACCCAGCTAGCTGACCAGACGCAAGGATAGGAGGAGACTCAGTGGTCAGGGTGTACAAGGCTCGACCCCGGCCGACGCGTAAACGTGGCCTGGTGTCGACCTGTGCGAGCGTCTGAGCAGTGGGTCACCCGCTAACTCGCAGGAGTAAACTGGTGAACCCCCGCATTGTGTTGGTCAGCACCACTCACCAGGTTTGTAGACAACGAGGGGAGGTAAAGACCAGACAAGGTGCCAGAGGGGGCCGCCGGACACGGGAGGACAGTGGAGAAGTGAGAAAGGACAGGACCTTTAAAGGGGTTTGCCAGGGAGACTGCAACCGGCCGACCAAGCGGCGTGAGTGTGGTGCGGTCTTGAAAGAAGGAGCGAGAAGCCCTTGAGTCAAGTGTGAAGGTGAGGGAGGCCGAAGTCGACGCGGTACCTGCAAGCGCAGACTCCCCAGCACCTGAGGACGCAGTTGCACTGGCACCTAGAGCAGCTGCCTCACTCGCACCTAGACCAGCAGCCTCACCAGTACCTAGAGCAGCAGTCTCAATGCCCGGGTCGGGCGGGAAACACCGGTAACAGACACCCTCGTCACTAATAGACACAGCATACATGGCAGAAAGGATAGCATCAAAGTCAAGATCATAGATGGCAACTCCTGCCCTAGACAGCTCGCCCCAATGAGGGATCTCTGTGGCCTCGGGGAACTGGTGACGCCACGCGTCCGTCAGGCGGCCAAAGCACCGCTGGGTGGGGTTCGCACCCCCACACTGCTCACCCGCACGGTCGCCGGTGCGCAGGACGTAGGTGCACGGACCAAAGCCCCCACCCCGCTGACGTGCAGTGTACCATTCACGGAGCGGCTTAGGGGACAAGGTCTCACGACCGCGCTGCTGCTGCTGGCGCAGACCACCACCGGAGCCACTCCGCTGCGTAGACCCGCGACCAGCTCCACCGCCACCCCCGCCGCCTCCGCGGCCTCCGCCGCCTCCGCTACTACCGCCGCCTCCTCCGCCTCCTCCACTGCCACCACCTCCGCCACCTCCGCTACCACCACCACTGCCGCCGCCGCCTCCGCCTCCACTGCCGCCACCGACACCTCCACCCCCACCTCCACTCCCACTGCCACCCCCAATCCCCCCGCCGCCTCCACCTCCACCTCCACCGCCCCCGCTTGCTCCTCCAGTGCTCCTGCCCCCCTTGCCCTTGCCAGAGCGGCGTCTCCCGCTAGGGGCAGACGCCGCACTGTCCGACTCAAGACCAAGGAGGTCGGCCGCAGCAGCAGAGGCAACAGAGGGCAGGAGGGGGGAGGGGGAACACCCCTCAAAGATGGGGGTGCGCGGGTCACCACGAGAGGCCCCTACAGCAACTATGCTCTTCTCGGCCGCTAGGAGGGACTTCTCGAGGAGGTCAACAGTGAGAATGGTGGGACTGACTGAGAGGAAGTGGTCCCTGACTACGCGAAGGGAGTCAGGGAGGCGAGTGACTAAGTAGTAGAGAGTGATGTACATGGGGGGGGGGGGTTCTTGGCGCAGAACTCAGCAGGAAGCGCAGCGCGATAGCGAGTGTCACTAGTGCGGAGGTGCGTAATGAGGTCAGCAACTGTGGGAAAGGCAGCAAGGTCAGGGAAGAGGTACGGTAGCATGAGGCGGCTCAGTGCAGCAGTGGCATGGGAAGAGTAGCGCGCAGCTACAGCGTAGTACAAGGTCTGAGCACTCTTGTACTGACTAAAGTGCGCGCGCTCAGTAGTAGGCAGGTGACGACGCACAGCAAGACGTGCAGCAGCGTCGCGCGTGGCCCACTGGGAGCGAACAGTGGCGTCAGCATCAGCAGCAGGGGCAGGAGAGGCGCCAGAGGTGAGGTCAAAGAGAGAGACCGTCTGCCCTATCGCACTGTCAGAATAGCTGCAGGTCGTCGACCTAGATGTCAAAGTCAATGGCTCGACCCTCAGCGTCAAAAGCAAGGACACTGGGGGTAGCCATGAGAACAGTAGACCAGCAGTGCAAGTAGTAGGGAAAGGGCAGTGCAGTGACAGAGGTGTTGTGCTCACCGGACAGGGCTGCTTGGGCGGCTCGGCGGCTCGGCTGCTGGGCGGCTCGGCGGCTCGACTGCTGGGCGGTAGGGCGGCTCGGCTGTAGGGCGGCCCGGCAACCCGGCGGCTCCGCTGCTGGGCGGCTCGGCGGCTCTACTGCTGGGCGGCTCGGCTGCACGGCGGCTCAACTGGTGGGCGGCTGGGCGGCTCGGCTGCAGGGCGGCTCGGCGGCTCGGCTGCTCTGCTGCTAGGCGGCTCGGTAGTGCTGCTGTAGGGCGGCGCGGCGGTCGGCGGCTCGGCTGGGTGAGGCGGCTCGGGCGGCTCGGGTGGCGGGCGGCGCTGCAGCAGTTGACGGGGCCGCAAGGGAGGGTGGCGGGGCCGTAGGTGAGGGCAACGGGGCCGCAACTGAGGGTGGCGGGGCCGCAAGTGAGGGCGATGGGGTCGCAGGTGAGGGCGGCGAAGGGCCGCAACTGAGGGAGGTGACGGGGCCACAACTGAGGGCGGCGATGGGGCCGCAACTGAGGGCCGCGGGGCCGCAAGTGAGGGCGGCGGGGCCGCAACTGAGGGCGGCGGGGCCGCAAGTGAGGGCGGCGGTGCCGCAGGTGAGGGCGGCGACGGGCCGCAACTGAGGGCGGCGACGGGGCCGCAACTGAGAGCGGCGACGGGGCCGCAACTGAGGGCGACGACGGGGCCGCAACTAAGGGCGGCGGGGCCGCAAGTGAGGGCGGCGGGGCCGCAAGTGAGGGCGGCGGGGCCGCAGGTGAGGGCGGCGACGGGCCGCAACTGAGGGCGACGACGGGGCCGCAACTGAGAGCGGCGACGAGGCCGCAGTAAGGGCAGCGGAAGGGAGGCCGTTAGGGGCGACGCGACGCGGCCGCTAGAACGGCTCGACGAAGGCAGAGAGGGGAGCGCGACTCGGGGAGCGCGCTACGGGCAGGAAAAAAAAAACATTCGACGTGGTGGGCCCTAGGCACAGTTCCCACGAGGGAACCTGCTCGATACCATGTGAAAGTTAGAACGAGAATGAATGACTAAGGAAGGAAAGTGGTACAAATATGCAACCCTAGAAATGTGTACCCCATATAGGCTACCCCACTACAGCCTACACAACATTATAATTTGACAGCGCAGTCCTCTCGTCAGTCCTCACGGAATGTGTCGATGCGATCCAACGCCCGCCCACCTGCCCCCACGCCCGCGCGCCCTCTCTCGCACCTGCATGCCCGTCTACCTCCTCGCCAGCCAGCCCCCTCGCGCGTGCGTTTGCTGCCGCCCGCGCACGCGCGCGTGTCTGCCCACCATCCCGCACGTGGGGGTACAGGGGCGCGGATGCGATGCCACTCGGCCCTGCGTTCGCGCGCACGCCTGCACACCTGCCAGCGCGCTTACTTGCGCGTCCGCTCCCGTGCTTGCAAGCAAGCGTGCTCGATGTTCACCAGCGTCCCAACAAACGCTCGATCCGCATCCTCTAGATGCATGTTGGCTATTTTCCTACAGAAGAGGCGGCGGCACGTGCGTATGGCAGCGCGGGCGGGCGGATGGGCACGCGGACGTGGGGGCGAGTGGCGCGCGGATCCTTGCTACCAACGAATCCTTGCGTCGGGCGGACACGGCGCGGCGGCGTTGGCGGGCGGGCGCACGGCGGAGGAGGGCAGGCGTGCGGGTGGGTGTGTGGCGCGGGCGAGCGGGTGCGGGTGGGCGGGTGATCCTGCTGGGATCTGTTTCGAGCTTCATTGTTCCACGTTTCACACGACCCACATGTACGATAAATATGGTTGTCTTGGAAAGCTAGTCCCTGCCTCCAAGTGGCCAAGTGGCCCGCCTCCAAGTGGCCAAGTGGCCCGCCCGTACGCCCCTGGCCAAGTGGCGCAGCTACATCCCCGGCCAAATAGCATTGGGAAATGCAGCTTTGACCATCACAGACGAGGAAACCATACAAGCTCAACTGCGATGGTAAAATACACTATATTGTTGCTCTTGCAATGTCAACAATACAAAAGAGCTCGCGCCATACTCATCCATCTTACGATATTAGACTATGCGTAAGCCCTCCAAGCATTGACTTATATTTCCAGAGCATTTAGAATTGTTTGCTCCGTAGTTGAGCTTGGATCCAAGCGTTTGTGCCTAGTATGTGCCGTAGTCTCCAATGGCATGGCATTTTAATCCGTGAAGTAGCAACAGGCCTGAGGTAAGGCTGGATCCGTCATACTACTCATATCCCGAGTCTTATGCTCCTACCCTAAGTTTCTCCCCTTTCTCAAAGTATGCAACGGAAAAGTATGCAACGGGATGGTCACCTAAGGCAAGGGTGAAATATACAAGTACAAAACCCTAAAATGTTATCTCTCTACCCTATCAACACGCATGCATCGGCAGGGCCACCGGTCGCTCACGCATCCCAACTGTGCGCACCATGTGTGTGTGTGTGTGTGTGTGTAGATTGGAGCAGGCTGCAGCCGATGACGAGCAGGCTGCGGCCGAAGACGAGCTGGTTGCGGCCGATGACGAGCAGGCTACGGCCGACGACGAGCAGGCTGCGGCCGATGACGAGCAGGCTGCGGCCGATGACGAGTAGGCTGCGGCCGATGACGAGCAGGTTGCGGGCGATGACGAGCAAGCTGCGGCCGATGACGAGCAGGCTGCGGCCGATGACAAACATGCTGCGGCCGAAGACGAGCACGCTGCGGCCGATGACGAGCAGGCTGCGGCCGAAGACGAGCAGGCTGCGGCCGATGACAAGCAGGCTACGGCCTACGACGAGCAAGCTGCGGCCGATGACGAGCAGGCTGCAGCCGATGACGAGCAGGCTGCGGCCGATGACGAGCAGGCTGCGGCCGATGACGAGCAGGCTGCGGCCGATGACGAGCAGGCTGCGGCCGATGACAAGCAGGCTGCGGCCGATGACGAGCAGGCTGCGGCCGATGATGAGCAGGCTGCGGCCGATGATGAGCAGGTTGCGGGCGATGACGAGCAGGCTGCGGCCGATGACGAGCAGGCTACGGCCGATGATGAGCAGGCTGCGGCCGATGACGAGCAGGCTGAGGCCGATGACGAGCAGGCTGCAGCCAATGACAATGCAAGTTGGGGCCGATGATGAGTAGGCTGCGGTCGATGATGAGCATGCTACGGCTGATGACGAGCAGGCTGCGGTCGATGACGAGCAGGTTGCGGCCGATGACGAGCAGGCTGCGGCCAATGACGAGCAGGCTGCGGCCGATGACGAGCAGGCTGCCGCGGATGACGAGCAGGCTCCGGCCGATGTCGAGTAGGCTGCGGCCGATGAGGAGCAGGCTGCGGCCGATGACGAGCAGGATGCCGATGATGACAAGCACGCTGCCGCCGATGACGAGCACGCTGCCGCCGATGACAAGCAGGCTGCGGCCAACGGCGAGCACGCTGTGGCCGACGACGAGCAAGCTGCGGCGGACGACGAGCAAGCTGCGGCCGACGACGAGCAAGCTGCGGCTGATGACGAGTAGGGTGCGGCCGATGATGAGAAAGCTGCGGCCGATTACGAGCAGGCTGCGGCCGATGACGAGCAGGGTGCGGCCGATGACGAGCAGGCTGCGGCCGATGACGAGCAGGCTGCGGCCGATGACGAGCAGGCTACGGCCGATGACGAGCAGGCTGCCGCCGATGACGAGCAGGCTGCGGCCGATGACGAGCAAGCTGCGGCCCATGATGAGCAGGCTACGGCGGATGACAAGGAGGCTGCGGCTGACGACAAGCAGGCTGCGGCCGATGACCAGCAGGCTCCGGCCGATGACGAGCAGGCTGCGGCTGATGACGAGCATGATGCCGACGATAACGAGCACTCTGCCGCCGATGACGAGCAAGCTGCCGCCGATGACAAGCAGGCTGCGGCCGACGACGAGCACGCTGTGGCCGACGACGAGCAGGCAGCGGCGGACGACGAGCAAGCTGCGGCCGACGACGAGCAGGCTGCGGCCTGACAACGGGCAGGCTGCGGCCGATGACGAGCAGGCTGTGGCCGAAGACGAGCAGGCTGCGGCCGATGACGAGCACGCTACAGCCGACGACGAGCAGGCTGCGGCCGATGACGAGCAGGCTGCGGCCGAAGACGAGTAGGCTGCGGGCGATGACGAGCAGGCTGCGGGCGATGACGAGCAAGCTGCGGCCGATGACGAGCAGGCTGCGGCCGATGACAAACATGCTACGGCCGATGACGAGCAGGCTGCGGCCGATGACGAGCAGGCTGCGGCCGATGACGAGCAGGCTGCGGCCGATGACGAGCAGGCTGCGGCCGATGACGAGAAGGCTGCGGCCGATGACGAGCAGGCTGCGGCCGATGACGAGCAGGCTGCGGCCAATGACAAGCAGGTTGGGGCCGATGACGAGTAGGCTGCGGCCGATGATGAGCACGCTGCGGCAGATGACGAGCAGGCTGCGGCCGAAGACGAGCTGGCTGCGGCCGATGACGAGCAGGCTACGGCCGGCGACGAGCACGCTGCGGCCGATGACGAGCAGGCTGCGGCCGATGACGAGTAGGCTGCGGCCGATGACGAGCAGGTTGCAGGCGATGACGAGCAAGCTGCGGCCGATGACGAGCAGGCTGCGGCAGATGACGAGCAGGCTGCGGGCGATGACGAGCAAGCAGCAGCCGATGACGAGCAGGCTGCGATCGATGAAGAGCAGGCTGCGGCCGAAGACGAGCTGGCTGCGGCCGATGACGAGCAGGCTACGGCCGACGACGAGCAGGCTGCGGGCGATGACGAGCAGGCTGCGGGCGATGACGAGCAGGCTACGGCCGATGACGAGCAGGCTGGGGCCGATGACGAGCAGGCTGCGGCCAATGACGAGCAGGCTGCGGCCAATGACAAGCAGGTTGGGGCCGATGACGAGTAGGCTGCGGCCGATGATGAGCACGCTGCGGCGGATGACGAGCAGGCTGCGGCCGAAGGCCGAAGACGAGCTGGCTGCGGCCGATGACGAGCAGGCTACGGCTTACGACGAGCAGGCTGCGGCCGATGACGAGCAGGCTGCGGCCGATGACGAGTAGGCTGCGGCCGATGACGAGCAGGTTGCGGGCGATGACGAGCAAGCTGCGGCCGATGACGAGCAGGCTGCGGTCGATGACAAACATGCTGCGGCCGAAGACGAGCAGGCTGCGGCCGATGACGAGCAGGCTGCGGCCGAAGACGAGCAGGCTGCGGCCGATGACGAGCAGGCTACGGCCTACAACGAGCAAGCTGCGGCCGATGATGAGGAGGCTGCAGCCGATGACGAGCAGGCTGCGGCCGATGATGAGCAGGCTGCGGCCGATCATGAGTAGGCTGCGGGCGATGACGAGCAGGCTGCGGCCGATGACGAGCAGGCTGCGGTCCATTACGAGCAGGCTGCTGGCGATGAGGAGCACACTGCGATCGATCACGAGCAGGCTGCGGCCGATCACGAGCAGGCTGCGGCCAATGACGAGCAGGCCGCGACCGATGACGAGCAGGTTGCGGCCGATTACGAGCAGGCTGCAGCCGATGACGAGCACGCTGCAACCGATGACGAGCACGCTGCGGCTGATGACGAGCAGGCTGCGGCCGATGACGAGCACGCTGCGGCCGATGACGAGCACGCTGCGGCCGATGACGAGCACGCTACGGCTGATGACGAGCAGGTTCCGGCCGATGACGAGCAGGCTGCGGCTGATGATGAGAACACTGCGGCTAATGACGAGCAGGCTGCGGCAGATGACGAGCAGGCTGCGGTAGATGACGAGCAGGCTACGGCCGGCGACGAGCAGGCTGCGGCCGATGATGAGCAGGCTGCGGGCGATGACGAGCAGGTTGCGGCCGATGACGAGCAGGCTGCGGTCGATGAGGAGCAGGCTGCTGGCGATGAGGAGCACACTGCGATCGACCACGAGCAGGCTCCGGCCAATGACGAGCACGCTGCGGCCGATGACAAGCAAGTTGCGGCCGTTGACGAGCACATTGCGGCCGATGACGGGCAGGCTGTGGCCGATGACGAGCAGGCTTGCGGCTGATGACGAGCAGGCTGCGGCCGATGACGAGCAGGCTGCGGTCGATGACGAGTAGGCTGCGGCCGATGACAAGCAGGCTGCGGCAAAAGACGAGCAGGGTGCGGCTGATGACGAGCAGGCTATGGCAGATGATGAGCAGGCTGCTGCCGATGACGAGCAGGCTGCGGCCAATGACGAGCAGGCTGCGGCCAATGACAAGCAGGTTGGGGCCGATGACGAGTAGGCTGCGGCCGATAATGAGCACGCTGCGGCGGATGTCGAGCAGGCTGCGGCCGAAGGCCGAAGACGAGCTGGCTGCGGCTGATGACGAGCAGGCTACGCCTTACGACGAGCAGGCTGCGGCCGATGACGAGCAGGCTGCGGCCGATGACGAGTAGGCTGCGGCCGATGACGAGCAGGTTGCGGGCGATGAAGAGCAAGCTGCGGCCAATGACGAGCAGGCTGCGGTCGATGACAAACATGCTGCGGCCGAAGACGAGCAGGCTGCGGCTGATGACGAGCAGGCTGCGGCCGAAGACGAGCAGGCTGCGGCCGATGACGAGCACGGCTACGGCCTACAACGAGCAAGCTGCGGCCGATGATGAGGAGGCTGCAGCCGATGACGAGCAGGCTGCGGCCGATGATGAGCAGGCTGCGGCCGATCATGAGTAGGCTGCGGGCGATGACGAGCAGGCTGCGGCCGATGACGAGCAGGCTGCGGTCCATTACGAGCAGGCTGCTGGCGATGAGGAGCACACTGCGATCGATCACGAGCAGGCTGCGGCCGATCACGAGCAGGCTGCGGCCAATGACGAGCAGGCAGCGACCGATGACGAGCAGGCTGCGTCCGATGACGAGCAGGTTGCGGCCGATTACGAGCAGGCTGCGGCCGATGACGAGCACGCTGCAGCCGATGACGAGCACGCTGCGGCTGATGACGAGCAGGCTGCGGCCGATGACGAGCACGCTGCGGCCGATGACGAGCACGCTGCGGCCGATGACGAGCACGCTGCGGCTGATGACGAGCAGGTTGCGGCCGATGACGAGCAGGCTGCGGCTGATGATGAGAACACTGCGGCTAATGACGAGCAGGCTGCGGCAGATGACGAGCAGGCTGCGGTAGATGACGAGCAGGCTACGGCCGGCGACGAGCAGGCTGCGGCCGATGATGAGCAGGCTGCGGGCGATGACGAGCAGGCTGCGGCCGATGACGAGCAGGCTGCGGTTGATGAGGAGCAGGCTGCTGGCGATGAGGAGCACACTTCGATCGACCACGAGCAGGCTGCGGCCAATGACGAACACACTGCGGCCGATGACAAGCAAGTTGCGGCCGTTGACGAGCACATTGCGGCCGATGACGGGCAGGCTGTGGCCGATGACGAGCAGGCTGCGGCCGATGACGAGCAGGCTGCGGTCGATGACGAGCAGGCTGCGGTCGATGACGAGTAGGCTGCGGCCGATGACAAGCAGGCTGCGGCAAAAGACGAGCAGGGTGCGGCTGATGACGAGCAGGCTACGGCAGATGATGAGCAAGCTGCCGCCGATGACGAGCAGGCTACGGCCGATGATGAGCACGCTGCGACCGATGACGAGCACCTTGCGGCCGATGACGAGCACGCTGCCGCCGATGATGAGCATGCTGCCGCCGATGACGAGCACGCTGCCGCTGATGACGAGCACGCTGCCGCCGATGACAAGCACGCTACGGCCGACGACGAGCAAGCTGCGGCCGACGACGAGCAGGCTGCGGCCGATGATGAGCAGGCTGCGGCCTGAAGACGAGCTGGCTGCGGCCATTGACGAGCAGGCTACTGCCGACGACGAGCAGGCTGCGGCCGATGACGAGCAGGCTGCGGGCGATCACGAGTAGGCTGCGACTGATGACGACCAGGTTGCGGGCGATGACGAACAAGCTGCGGCCGATGACGAGCAGGCTGCGGCCGATGACAAACATGCTGTGGCCGAAGACGAGCAAGCTGCGGCCGAAGACGAGCAGGCTGCGGCCGAAGACGAGCAGGCTGCGGCCGATGACGAGCAGGCTATGGCCTACGACGAGCAAGCTGCGGCCGATGACGAGCAGGCTGCGGCCGATGACGAGCAGGCTGCGGCCGATGACGAGCAGGCTTCGGCCGATGACGAGCACGCTGCGGCCGATGATGAGCACGCTGCGGGCGATGACAAGCAAGCTGCGGCCGATGACGAGCAGGCTGCGGTCGATGACGAGCAGGCTGCTGGCGATGAGGAGCACACTGCGATCGATCGCGAGCAGGCTGCGGCCGATCACTAGCAGGCTGCGGCCGATGACGAGCAGGCAGCGACCGATGAAGAGCAGGCTGCGGCCGATGACGAGCAGGTTGCGGCCAAGGATGAACAGGCTGCGGCCGATGACGAGCAGGCTGCAGCCGATGACGAGCACACTACGGCCGATGACGAGCAGGCTGCGGCCGATGACGAGCAGGCTGCAGCCGATGACGAGTAGGCTGCGGTCGATGACGAGCAGGCTGCGGCCAATGACGAGCAGGCTGTGGCCGATGACGAGCAAGCTGCGGCCGATGACGAGTAGGCTGCGGCCGATGACAAGCAGGCTGCGGCCGATGTTGAGCAGGCTGTGGCCGATGACGAGCAGGCTGCAGCCGAAGACGAGCAGGCTGCGGCCGATGACAAGCAGGCTACGGCCGACGACGAGTAGGCTGCGGCCGATGACGAGCAGGCTGCGGCCGATGACGAGTAGGCTGCGGCCGATGACGAGCAGGTTGCGGGCGATGGCGAGCAAGCTGCGGCCGATGACGAGCAGGCTGCGGCCGATGACAAACATGCTACGGCCGAAGACGAGCAGGCTGCGGCCGAAGACAAGCAGGCTGCGGCCGATGACGAGCAGGCTACGGCCTACGACGAGCAAGCTGCGGCTGATGATGAGCAGTCTGCGGCCGATAACGAGCAGGCTGCGGCCGATGATAAGTAGGCTGCGGCCGATGACGAGCAGGCTGCGGCCGATGACGAGCAGGCTACGGCCGATGACGAGCACGCTGCGGCCGATGACAAGCAGGTTGCAGCCGATGACGAGCAGGCTGCGGCCGATGATGAGCACGCTGCAGCTGATAACGAGCAGGCTGCGGCCGATGACGAGCAGGCTGCGGCAGATGACGAGCAGGTTGCGGCCGATGACGAGCAGGCTGCGGCCGATGACGAGCAGGCTGCGGCCGATGACGAGCACGCTTCGGCCGATGACGAGCAGGCTGTGGCCTATGACGAGCAGGCTGCGGCCGATGACGAGCAGGCTGCGGCTGATGACGAGCAGGCTGCGGCCGATGAGGAGCACACTGCGTCCGATGACGAGCAGGTTGCGGCCGATGACGAGCACGCTGCGGCCGATGACGAGCAAGTTGCGGCCGATGACGAGCACGCTGCGGCCGATGACGGGCAGGCTGCGGCCGATGACGAGCAAGCTGCGGCCGATGACGAGCAGGCTGCGGCCGATGACGAGCAGGCTGCGGTCGATGACGAGTAGGCTGCGGCCGATGACAATCAGGCTACGGCAAAAGACGAGCAGGGTGCGGCTGATGACGAGCAGGCTACGGCCGATGACGAGCAGGCTTCCGCCGATGACGAGCAGGCTGCAGCCGAATGACGAGCACGCTGCGGCCGATGACGTGCACCTTGCGGCCAATGACGAGTACGCTGCCGCCGATGACGAGCATGTTGCCGCCGATGACGAGCACGCTGCCGCTGATGACGAGCATGCTGCCTCAGATGACGAGCAGGCTGCGGCCGACGACGAGCAGGCTGTGGCCGACGACGAGCAGGCTGCGGCTGACAACGAGCAGGCTGCGGCCGATGACGAGCAGGCTGCGGCCGAAGACGAGCGGGCTACGGCCGATGACAAGCAGGCTACGGCCGACGACGAGCAGGCTTCGGCCGATGACGAGCAGGCTGCGGCCGATGACGAGTAGGCTGCGGCCGATGACGAGCAGGCTGCGGGCGATGACGAGCAAGTTGCGGCCGATGACGAGCAGGCTGCGGCCGATGACAAACATGATGCGGCCGAAAACGAGCAGGCTGCGGGCGATGACGAGCAGGCTGCGGCCGAAGATAAGCAGGCTGCGGCCGATGACAAGCAGGCTACGGCCTACGACGAGCAAGCTGCGGCCGATGACGAGCAGGCTGCGGCCGATGACGAGCAGGCTGCGGCTTATGACAAGCAGGCTGCGGCCGATGACGAGCAGGCTGCGGCTGATGACGAGCAGGTTGCGGCCGATGACGAGCAGGCTGCGGCCAATGACGAGCAGGCTGAGGCTGATGATGAGCAGGCTGCGGCCGATGACGAGCAGGTTGCGGCTGATGACAAGCAGGCTGCGGCGGATGACGAGCACGCCGTGGCTGATGACGAGCACGCTGCCGCCGATGACAAGCACGCTGCCGCCGATGACGAGCACGCTGCCGCCTATGACGAGCACGCTGGCGCCGATGACGAGCACGCTGCCGCTGATGACGAGCACGCTGCCTGCCGATGACGAGCACGCTGGCGCCGATGGCGAGCACGCTGCCGCCAATGACGAGCACGCTGCCGCCAATGACGAGCACGCTGCCGCCGATAACGAGCGGGCTGCCGCTGATGACGAGCACGCCGCCGCCGATGAGGAGCACGCTGCCCCCGATGACAAGCACGCTGCCGCCAATGACTAGCACGCTGCCGCCGATGACGAGCACGCTGCTATGAAATTATAATATTCTGTAGGTTATAGTGGGGTAGCCTATATGGGGTACACATTTCTAGGGTTGCATATTTGTATCACTTCCATTCCTTGGTCATTCATTCTCGTTCACATCTTCTCATGGTATCGAGCAGGTTCCCCCCGTGGGAACTGTGCGTAGGGCCCACCACATCGATTTTTTTCCTGCCCGAAGCGCGCTTCGCTCGAGTCACGCTTCGGGCTTTCACCTCGTCGAGCTGTCCTAGTGGCCCCCTTTCCCCTAGCGGCCCCGCCGCCCTACCTCGCGGCCCCCCCGCCCTACCTCGCATGCCCCTCCGCCCTACCTCGCGGCCCCGCCGCCCTACCTCATGGCCCCGCCGCCCTACCTCGTGGCCCCGTCGCCCTACCTCGCGGCCCCGCTGCCCTACCTCGCGGCCCCGCTGCCTACCTAGCGGTCACGCCGCCCTACCTCACGGCCCCGCCGCCCTACCTCGCGGCCCCGCCACCCTTCTGCAGCGGCCCCGCCGCCCTACTCACCGGCCCCGCCGCCCTACTCCTTTGGCCCCGTCGCCCTACTCTTGCGGCCCCACCGCCCTACTCCTGCGGCCCCGCCACCCTACTCCTACGGCCCCGCCGCCCTACTCCAGCGGCCCTGCCGCCCTACACCGCCCGCGCCACCCGAAGTGCCAGAACAGCCCGAGCCGCCTGAGCCGCCTGAGCCGCCCGAGCCACCCGAGCCGCCCGAGCCGCCCGAGCCGTCCGAGCCGCCCGAGCCGCCTAATCAGCCGAGTCGCCGGTGCCGCGGAGCCGCAGTTGCTACTGAGCCGTCCGAGCAGCCGTGTTGCCGTGCTACTGCACTACTGAGCTGCCCGACTTGCCCTATCTGGTGAGACCAGCGCTTCGGTTACTGCACTGCCCCTGTCCTACAGTTTGTCTCGCTAGTCTACTGCTGTCATGGCTTCCCCCAGTGTTCTCCCTTTTGATGCTGAGGGTCAAGCCATTGACTTTGAGGTTTGGGTAGATGACCTACAGCTCTTCTTACAATGCGATAGGGCAGATGGTCTCTCCCTCTTTGACATCACCTCTGGTGCCTCTCCTGCCCCTGCTGCTGATGCTGACCCCACTGTTCGCTCCCAGTGGGCCACGCGCGATGCTGCTGCACGTCTTGCTGTGCGTCGCCACCTGCCTACCACTGAGCGCGCGCACTTTAGTCAGTACAAGAGTGCTCACACCTTATACGACGCTCTAGTTGCGCGCTACTCTTTCCCTGCCACTGCTGCACTTAGCCGCCTCATGCTACCGTACCTCTTTCCTGACCTTGCTGCCTTTCCCACAGTCGCTGACCTCATTACGCACCTCCGCACTAGTGACACTCGCTACGCGCCGCACTTCTTGCTGAGTTCTGCGCCAAGAACCCCCCCCCATGTACATCACTCTCTATTATATAGTCACTCGCCTCCTTGACTCCCTTCGCGTAGTCAGGGATCACTTCCTCTCACTCTGTCCCACCACTCTCACTGTTGACCTCCTAGAGAAGGCCCTCCTAGCAGCGGAGAAGAGCATAGTCGCTGTAGGAGCCTCTCGTGGTGACCCTCGCACCCCCATCCTTGAGGGGTGTTCCCCTTCCCCCCTGTTGCCCTCTATCGCCTCTTCTGCTGCGGCCGACCTCGTTGGTCTTGAGTCGGTCGGTGCGGCGTCTGCCCCTAGCGGAAGACGCCACCCTGGCAAGGGCAAGGGGGGCAAGGGCGCGGGTGGAGCTAGCCGGGGTGGTGGAGGTGGCGGTGGAGGTGGCGGAGGGAGTGGGGGTGGCGGTGGGAGTGGTGGCGGGGGTGGAGGTGGTGGTGGCAGCAGCGGAGGCAGAGGCGGCAGCGGTGGGAGCGGAGGCGGCGGTGGTGGCGGAGGTGGAGGCGGCGGTGGCGGAGGAGGTGGAGCTGGGCGAGGTGGTGCTTCGCAGCGGAGTGGTTCCGGTGGTGGTCAGCGCCAGCAGCAGAAGCAGCAGCAGCAGCGTTCTCGGGACATCCCCCCTCCTCAGCAGCTCCGTGAGTGGTACACGCAGCGTCAGCGTGGTGGGGGTTTTGGTCCGTGCACCTACGTCCTTCGCTCCGGCGACCGCGCCGGTGAGGAGTGTGGAGGTGCCCACCCACCCAGCGCTGCTTTGGCCGCCTGACGGACGCTTGGCGTCAGCAGTTCCCGGAGGCTAGTGAGATCTCCTGCTAGGGAGAGTTTTCTAGGGCAAGTGTCGCTATCTTTGATCTTGACTTTGATGCTATCCTTGCTGCCATGTATGCTGTGACTATTAGTGATGAGGGTCACTGTTACAGGTGTTTCCCGCCCGACTCGGGCATTGGTACTGCTGCGCTAGGTGCTAGTGAGGCTGCTGCTCTAGGTGCCAGCGCGTCTGCGCCCTCAGGTACTGGTGAGGCTACTCTCTCAGGTACTGCGTCGGCTTCGGCCTCCCTCACCTTCACACTTGATTCGGGGGCTTCTCGCTCCTTCTTTCGAGACCGCACCACACTCACGCCGCTTGGTCGGCCGGTTGCAGTCTCCCTAGCAGACCCCTCTGGGGGTCCTGTCCTCTCTCACTTCTCCACTGTCCTCCCGTGTCCGGCTGCCCCCTCTGGCACCTTGTCTGGTCTTTACCTCCCCTCGTTCTCTACGAACTTGGTGAGTGGTGCTGACTTGCAGGATGTGGGAGTTCACCAGTTTACTCCTGCAAGTCAGCGAGTGACCCACTGCTCGGACGCACGCACGGGCTGGTACCTGGCCACGTTTTCCCGTCGGCCGGGGTTGAGCCTCTACACCCTGACCACTGGGTCCTCTCTTGTCCCTGCTTCTGGCCAGGTAGCTGCGTCGGGTCAGGTGTTTGGTGCAGCGTCCAAGTCTGGTCCTGAGTCTGCCCCCTGTTCGTGTCGCCGTCTGTCTCACGAGACCCTCCTCTGGCACCACCGCCTTGGCCACCCCTCTCTGCTTCGGCTCAGAGGCATGGCCTCCCGTCTTCTTGTGTCTGGTCTCCCCCGGTCCCTCCCTCCCCTTCCTCAGGCCCCTTGCCCTGCCTTTGTCCCCTGTGTCGAGGGGCGGCTCCGGGCTGCCCCTCACTCCTCTCAATTTCCCCCGATAGAGGCCCCGCTGCAGACGCTTCACATGGACGTGTGGGTCCCGGCCCGCGTCCATGGACAGGGTCACGAGCGCTACTTCCTGCTGGTGGTTGACGACTACTCGCGTTACACCACAGTCTTCCCCTTGCGCAGCAAGGGTGATGTCACTGCGGTGTTGATCGACTGGATCTGCGCAGCTCGTCTCCAGCTCAGGAGGAGCTTCGGCTCAGACTTTCCTGTTCTGCGTCTGCACTCTAACCGAGGCAGAAAGTTCTCCTCTGGCCTTCTGCGAGCCTACTGTCGTGCGCGAGGCATCCACAAGACCTTCACGCTTCCGGACTCTCCACAGCAAAATGGGATTGCTGAGCGCCGCATTGGCATGGTCATGGACGTCGCTCGTACGTCCATGATGCATGCGGCTGGCCTCATTTTCTGTGGCCGTTTGCGGTTCGGTACGCGGCGCATCAGATCAACCTTCACCCCAGGGTCTCCATGCCGGAGACCTCCCCAGCCTTGCTGTGGACGGGGAAGGTCGGCGATGTGTCTGCGTTCCGTGTCTGGGGATCTCGGGCGTTTGTCCTCGACTAGTCTGCAGACAAGCTGTCCCCTCGTGCTGCTCCCTGTGTCTTCCTTGGCTTCCCCCCATGACGCACCAGGGTGGCAGTTCTACCACCCCAGCTCTCGTCGTGTTCTGTCCTCCCAGGACGTCACGTTTGACGAGTCGGTCCCCTACTACCGTCTCTTCCCCTACTGCACTCCTTCCCTCCCCCCGTCGCCGCACTTCCTTGTGCCAGGTCCCCCCCAGGTAGACCCCCTCCCCCCTCAGGGTTCTGCTCCTTCAAGTGTATCCCAGGTAGACGAAGTAAGGCCGATCGAGGTTGCTGGTGACTCTGGTACTGCTGCGGGTGCTGAGCCTGGGGGTGCTGACTCTGGGGGTGCTGCGCGCGTGGGTACTAAGCCTGGGGATGCTGAGTCTTGGGGTGCTGCGACTGGGGGTGCTGAGCCTGGGGGTGCTACGACTAAGGGTGTTGAGCCTGGGGGTACTACGACTGGGGGTGTTGAGCCCGGGGGTGCTACGACTGGGAGTGCTGAGCCTGGGGGTGCTACGTCAGGAGCTGCAGAGCCTGGGGGTGCTGCGTCTGGAGCTACTGAGCCTGGTGGTGCGGAGCCAACGGCCGTTGGACCTGCTCGTGTGGCGTTTGGCGGTGCTGGGCCTGGAGGTTCTCCGGGTGCTTTGTCTCGGCGGGAGCCACTCTCTCCAGAGGAGCTGCGCGAGTGGTTTGCCCGGCGCTAGAGGCGTACTACTAGAGCTGGAGCTTCTTCGGCCGCTGAGGGTGCTGGTGCGGCTGGTCCCGGAAGTGCTCGCCCTGGGAGTGCTGGAGCTGCTGGGCCTGCGGGTACGAGTGGAGCTGGAGCTGCTGAGGGTGTTGGCGCTGAGGCTGCTGCTGTCAGTCCTGGCGGTGATCCTGCTGCGGGTGCTGCTGATACTGCTGGAGGTCCTGCAGCTGGAAGGTGCTGTTGGCGCTGGTGCTGCCGCTGAGGGTGCTGGTGCTGTCCCTGCTGTGTCTGGAGTCGCCGCGCGGCCTCAGCCATACTTTGTTCTGCTCCTTCAGCAGGTTCTTGGTCCTTCTCCTCCTGTAGAGTGTCCACTGCTTGTCCAATCACAGTCACAGTTACCGCCCGCTTCCCCACTGCCTGCTCCCTCTCCCTACACTGGTCCTACTAGGAGGTCTTGCTGAGCGTTGTGAGCCTGCGGCTCGTCCCGCGTCGCCTGCTCGTGCTGCTTGCGCTAGTGGTCGCGGTTCGGCGTCAACGTCCTCCTCCTGTCCCTGGCACGCACCGGATGTCTCTGCGTCCATCCACTGCTCCTTTGCGTGTCCCTTTGCCTTCTCCTCCTGAGTCCTCTCTTCCTGCGCTTGCCGACCCGGAGTCGGACTCTCTTCGTGCTGCTAGTCCTACCGTCACGCGTCTCCTTGCTACTGTCGTCACTGACCGTCACACATGGTGCAGCAGGTCCTTCAGCACTTCGGCTTCACGTACTCCTCGCCTCAGGCCACTCCTTTGTCTACTCGCCACTCGCTCTCAGCTGTGCCTTCGGATGAGTCCGTAGAGTCGAGTGGCGCAGTACCCAGAGCTTGTTGACTGCCTCATGTACCTGATGACGTGCACGGCCTGACCTTGCATACCCTCTTAGCATTCTTGCATGCTACGTTGCTCCTGGGAGATACAGACCA